TGGTAATGAGAATAATAAGGATTCTCAAAATAAGCCTTCACTCTATGAAGTTAATGTTTGTCATCGATTTGACATAAGATTTCGTAAAGCACATACAGATGACTATGGTCAATTCAGGATGTGAATGTGACAACATCTGATTTATGAATACATATTCACTTTTGGAAGAATATGAACGTGCTAGTGGTAGTGAATATACCACGTACTCACCTTTAGAAGGAGGTTTGAGATGATATAAGAAAATAATGTCATTATTATGGCATAAATGGTCATTGGTCACGTACCTATTGCACGCTAAAATATTTTGGTAATGTGATTATTAAAGAATAACATTAATACAAGAAACATATCTTGCATATAATTTTGACCATAACCATAATGGTATAACTTTCTCTTTAAAAGAGATATTCACCATATGGATGTTGATGAATATGTGGTAGTACAAAATTAATTGAGAGCTCTAGAAGAGCCAATTATACTATTTTGGAGAAAATTGATTATCAATAAGACGTTGTGTTGTAGTAAGTCTCAAAAAAACTTATTGAGTTTCTAAAGTATTCGCGAAAGCGGTTGGTCATACTGAGACTATAAATAAAGGAAAGATTTAATATCTTCTATTACTACAACTTGTAGCATGGTAATATGTATGTGAAAAGCTACCCGCTTTATTCTCCAGTTTGTACTACACAAACAAAAGAATGCCACAATAAAGAGAAGTTTATTGATATAAAAATCCATATCATAATAAACTTGGAGTTTATTGATAATTGCACACGTCATGGTGTAAATATGAAGTTTATCAATATTGATAATTTATTCAGCTGGCATAATTGGTTTACCCATATCAATTTAAGTATGATGTGCAAAAATAAAAGAGAATTCACATGGGTAAATATTAAAGAACTAGAAAGTTCTTTACGAATTCTCTTATGTTGCCTGTTCTCATTAATTAATATATCAACTAAAATTGGGATTGAATCCCATGAATGCTGGAAATATCAAAGGTGAATATGGGCCCATTCACCTGCCATGTATGCCACATAAGATGCATCTATGAGATGGTTACATGTGCGATTATTAGTAACCCGCAACATGGTGTTTTGCGAGGTAACTTGCTCAATAATTTAATTTCGAGCATAATTTCCAGATTTTCTATTCAAGAAGTTCATCTTGATAAGTTGGTTTACATCACAGTTGGTTTAGCAAAATGATTTATTAAGTGCCTCTACTTAATAGCTAAATAATTGCTTATGAGAACAAAGTTATCTATATCAGTTTGATATACGCTATATACCAAAGTATATTATTTTCTCCCCTCACAAGTGGTTCAGGGTCAGGAACCAAATAATTCCATCTTATTATTATTGATGTGCGGTGTACATTTTGATTAACACCATAACACACAAAGATGGGTTCTCAAAGTTGAGGAAACAAGTTAGTTTTTCTAACATGAGGGAGAGACATGATAAACAGTTGAGAAAAAAGTTACGTGGAATGAATTATCATTTGTACATCTAGATCCTCGAATAAGATAATATGAACTTGAAGTTCATAAAAGGATAATTCATTTGCAATATATTGCAAAGCATGCCAGACGCATTTGCTGACCAAAAGAAAGTAACTATATTCACACTGCAAATGCTCCTATTAGAATAAGTCCTAGAAGGACAAAGTCTATGGTACGCTTAAAGCGTATAGACAGATCGATTTCAAATAACTTCTTGATAAAGAAGATGAGCAAATGATCTAAATGATCATAACAAAGGAGGCAAGTGATATAGAAGATCACATGACATAACACTTCATAAAATCTCAGGAGAGATTCAGGTACCTGAAAATATAAATGAAGAGATCTCTATGTTATGTCTTTATGAAAAAAAAGGAGGTTGGAACCAATATAAAATGTTCATCGACGACATCTATGATACCGCTAAATATATATGAGGATCTTAAGTCTGGAGAAACAATTTCGAATAGAATTGGTTTCATATGAAAGGCATGTAGTTTTGGACATATAGTTCAAACACTTGAAAGTATAAAGTCAATGGTATGTGCAATCAGTTTTCGATATCTTATATGTCTAGCATGACATGAAAACTTGATATGCATCTAAAGTCTATTATATGGCTTATATGACTTAACAATCCCTGAAGGATTTAAATTGCTTAAAGCATATAGAATTCATGGTCATGAAGTACTACATCCTCAGTGCAATTTGTGCACAAATGTATCTTGCTATAACTATATGCATGATAATATGATAGCAAGAGTTTTCACCTCTATGTGAAGATATTGAACTGACAATTCCAACAAGATCATATGAAGACAATTCATCTCTATCAAGAATGATGATTTCAAGTTGCAATATATTCATTCAAGTTAATATGGCTGATTTGTTCATCAAATCTCTACCAGAGATCTTTTGAAGATGGTGCACAAGATTGAAATGCAAATGCTTAAGGATGTGAAATGATGCTCTCATCAGGGGGAGTTAATACGCGTTGTACTCTTTTTCTCTTACAAGGCTTTGTCCCACTGGATTTTTCTTACAAGGTTTTTAACGAGGCAACCAAAAGACGTTTCCCGTTGGGTTTTATTTTAGTTAAGGTTTTAACGAGACACATTATCTGTTGAATAGACATTCAAGGGAGTGTTATAAATAGAATTGTATTTATGGTGAATGTCTATATTTAGAGAGATTCTAGGGTTCATTGCTTGGTGGCTAAGTCACCCTTTTCCTATAAATAGAGGGTTCTATTCCTTTGTAATTCATCCCAAAATCAATAAGAATTCTCTCCTTCTACTTTTCTCTGCAATACTTTTCTTCTTTTTTTATTGTTTTATAACACTTATGAGCTAAATTTGATACTCTTCTTTGAGAATATTGGGGGACCTTATAGCTCTAACAACATTTATTACATTCCCTTTCTTCTAAAGTATCTTGTCATTAAGGTAATAGTTGGGCCCTTTCTTTTCGTGTTCTCATTTATTAAGTGAAAATGACACTGTATAGTCGCTCTTAAAATAACAGCCGAAAAATATATATTTTTTGTATATATATACATTCTGTATGCTATATAAAAAAAATTATACACAAATTCTATATATTTTTCGGCTACAAAATATAAATAGTTTCTGAAGACGGATTAAGAGTGGAAAAAGCCCTTTTCTTTTAATATCGGCAAGGGGCTCCTCCTTTCTATATCTTCTTTGATGTAAAGTGAATAACAGGGTTATGAATAACATCCCATTAACACGCACTAATGAAATGCAAAGTGTACAGATTCTCATTGAAAATTCTGAGACTTTATACCTTCAGGTGGATGGCAAATGAGTGCATTCCTCTTTTGTGTTTTCTTGATAAGACTATAGTTCAGAAAAACATGAATAGTTCCCTGTACTCAGTGCTCCTCTTTTTGGGCATGCATGATTTGGAAATTTTGAACAGTTAAGCCTTATTTGGTTGGTGACTTGAGCAACGCATACATTCTTGAGAGTTGTGGCAATCAATTAATAGTTCCATGTGGATGAAGTCGTGCTTACCGCAATCTTCCAAGTTCCAACCAACTCTTTTAATTCTTAAGTATCAATTAATCACGCAACCGAAAAAACGAAAAAGATATTTCCTACTAGCACAGACTATTAGAGGCCCTACCACGACAATCTTAATATCTTTTGATATTGCGTATCTTGTTAGTGTACCATCTTCACCCTTCATTTAGACTTTCTTTTTCTTTCTATACTCTGTCCCTTTTAGCTTATTAATTTTGAACTGTAATCCTTTGCACATTCGACCAAGATTGTCTTTTTCAAGATTTTAAAATGGTGAAAATACAAACTTTCTTTTGACAGGACTAGACCGCGACATTTAGTCTCTGATGGAGTATAAAATAAAAAAGTAGATGGGTAAAACCATAAAAGTTTAGAATAAACATAGCACTTCTTGACCTAGAATTTTTTGTTTAATTTTTTGGTATGGGTTCGCAAACTATTTTGCTTTCCTGTATCTTGAACATTTCATTTGTGAATCATTTTTAAGAAGTATAATTGGGTTTGAAGCAGGTGCAAATCACACCAAGTAATAATTGCATTGCTTTTCTTCTCCATCATTGATTGAAACTTCAAAAAAAAAAAAGTATTAAGGGGAATTAATTCATATTCTTTTAAGTAAATAACTCAACATTCGACCACGTACATCATTTAACATCTTTAGAGCATGGATGTTAACAGATTATATTAGATCAATTCTAAAAAAATAAAATATCTAATTTGATGGAGAGACCATCGGTTACGTGCTCCCTATATTAGGCTATAATTCCGTCCCTGAGATGGATACAGGTCTAAAAGAAAGGCAACAAAAAAGAATTTAAGTTATATATATAGATAATGTGAGAATTTTTTATACCATTAGTATAACCGCCGTTCTAAATAAGTCAGATAGTTGATTGAAAAAGTACCACCCAAAATCAGTGCCATTCATTCAATTAAATCTTTTATGTTTTCACGCAAGCTGGTTAGATGCGTGGGACAGAGGGCTCGTAGTACCTGCTAGCGTGTTAGGTTTTTGCTCTCGTATTACAGATTTTCCACTTCGTTCAGTTATATCCTCCCACTACCAACCAGCGGATATCATCTGGCTAGTCTTGACGATATCAACAAAGAGGAAGAAACAACCAAATAATTTAACATACTATAACATATTATTTTAATATAATTGATTAATATTTATTATAAAGTTTATTACTAATCTGATTGTGTAATTATTTTTATACAATTAGTGCATATAACATAACCTAAAAAGCAAAAAGAACAGATGAAACGGTCATGCCAAGGTAAAACTAACGTTGGAACTAAGGACCACATATAATAAATAGTTGTAAATCAAAAGTAGTAACATGATTTTTTAAAGAGGAATTTGTCCCAAAATACTTTAGTCCAACGGCTCTGTCATGATTATAATTTATCGCTAAGTTGTGGGAGAGGGGCAAACGATACGTGACAGCTCACCATTGCAAGACTGTACAAATCATAAGCCAGCTAAGGCCTTAGTCCCATCTGTCAACTCTTCTATGGTCTTTTATAAGTATGTCCAAACCAATTTATTACCTTCCGCCAACTACTAAAAAAGATCTTTCATTTCTCATCTCTGATTCTGTTCCAAATCCCAGAATTCTTCTTTTTTTCTAAATTCTGTTTGTAGCCATGGCAGAAGTAGAAGCTACGAAAGTGGAGACTGAGAAAGTTGTGGACCCTACTTCCCCTGCGCCTGAGGCTCCTGCACCTGTTAAAGAAGCAGAACCTGTTGTTGAAACAGTGGCTGATGAGAAAGCTATAGTTGCACCAGCTCTGCCTCCTCCTGAACAAGTCAAAGAAAAATCCGATGACTCTAAAGCACTAGTTGTCGTTGAAGATAGTATGATTTCTCCCTACCTCGTCTCTGTGCTCATGAATTTTTATATGTTTGTGTGTGTATATATATATACTCTGTGTTGTCTGCAGATATCAGCTGAATTTTGTGTTTCTCTGAGAGAAATTCCAAACTTAATTAAAGTAGATTATGTATAATATTTGTCCTTTTGTAGAAAAGTTAGTTTTGTTAGTTAGTGTAAAAAAGAAAAATAATTGCTTGTTGAAGCAATTGATGAATAATTAAATACGTTTTATTACCCATGTTGAAGAAAGATCCTGAAAATTTTCTCTGTCAGGCTTGATTTATGGCTTTGTCCTCTCTATTTCCGTAGGCCTAGTCAAAATTTTAACCAATTTCACTTCTCTTTCAGTGCTTAGCTTAGACTGCTCTATCAATTTTTCAAAACCTTTTTTATGGTCTCTCTAACTTTGTGCAACTTGTTTCATTCGCAGAAGCAGCAGAACCTGCTGAGGAGAAAAAGGAGGGATCTATTGACAGAGGTAATTTGGACTTTTCTTTTGCTTTCAGTTGTTTTTGGATCATTTACTGTCTAAGGGTATTTGAGTAATTTGGTTATATAATCCTCAGATGCTGTGCTTGCTCGAGTTGCAACAGAGAAGAGACTGTCACTAATCAAAGCATGGGAGGAAAGTGAGAAATCAAAAGCCGAAAACAAGTATGTACTCAATCTGCTGATTTTTAATATATGTTGATGCTTATTTACTTAGGACTAATATACATAAATTGGTTTAGAATGTGTAGGAAGATAATATTGTATACAATTTGCTGACTGCAAATATGACAGTGGTTATTCCAAAGTAACACACTGAATAAGCAAAAAAGTTAAAGTATATTAGCAGTTTTGACTTTGTTTTTCCAGTATTAAGATCTTGTTGATTACTCATGTGGCAGCCTATTTGTGAGACATTTTTCTCAAGGAAATTATTAGTGTTTCCCAGTTAGCTTCACTTGGTTACATCATTTGCACATTTAGTGTCAATCCTTTTTGTCCTGAGCTTGAGAAAGTAAGTCTTGAATTTTCTTCATACGGAGTAGGAAGAAAATTCTTTGCACGACATATGGAGTATGAGTTGTGCGACACTAGTATAATTTTTGTAACAATTATTATCTGTCCCCTGGATCAGTTCTTTGAGAAAGTCCTGCAGCCAATTTTAAGATCTGCACATACCTTCTCTTCAATTTTCTTTAAAAACAATGGGCAATGGTCACAATTTTTATTTAAATTATGGGGAAAGGTTGCCTTTAATTTTGCAAGTGTTATGTTTTACTGAGTATGGTAACCTGAATCTGTTAACAGAGCTCAGAAAAAGGTATCTGCAATTGCTGCATGGGAGAATAGTAAGAAAGCAAACCTGGAGGCTGAGCTCAAAAAGATGGAGGTTAGTTGTCATCCTTCAATTTTGCTACATAGTCGGTCAGTTGTATGAAATACAATAGTTACTGCTATTTTGATGATAAAGATCAACCCTTTGTTGATTTTACTATAAATCTCGATATTAGCATAAGATCCTTAACTGAGGAATATTTTCTCAAGAAGTTTCCATTTTATTAACCTTTACATATCTTGTGGGGGAGCAGGAGCAGCTGGAGAAAAAGAAGGCAGAATATATTGAGAAAATGAAAAACAAAATTGCTCTACTCCACAAGGAAGCTGAAGAAAAGAGAGCGATGATTGAAGCTAAACGTGGAGAAGATCTTCTTAAGGCAGAGGAATTGGCAGCAAAATACCGCGCCACTGGAACTGCTCCAAAGAAACTCCTTGGATGTTTTTGAAGCAGCAAGCATTAGACCTGCATCGATGGTGATTGAAAATGCTTTTGTAAAGTTTGTGCAATTGGAGTTTTTTTTTTCTTATTAGATACATTGTGTGATTATGTATTTTAGAATCAGCCATTGTTTATTATTATGTGTGCATAGTGATGTATTCCAGTGTATATATCACCTGGACAAAATTAACTTTGTGGGATTGTATGAACCAGTGTTGAAGGAAATCTTCATGTTAGTAACCATCTCCTGCACAGAAAGCCTCTTTATTTAGAAGTTTCGACGTACACATACATCGCCTTAGCCAGATGGCTGAGGTTGTCATTGACCACTTGCCTCTTGGCATCTAAAGAAACGTAGGTTTTATCAGTCCCACTCATTTCTCCTGTGTTTCTACTCCTCCCATTGCCTCCTGCAAGTTGGCATGATATGATACAGGCAAGTGTAAGGACAAGCGCACAATATCTCATAGAGAACTTCAGTGATTTATACTTACAGGTTTGGCCATGTTTCCTCCTCCTTGTCGATTGTAATCTTTTCTGTGATATTAACCTTTATGGCTAGCATAGGAACCAAGAGTTGTTTTGCTCGTTTTATGGACTAGTTTGCAGTACTCTCCAGTATGTGTTCTTCAGATGTAGCTTTGTAGGTTTTGACTATCTACTGGTGGGAGGGCTGGGATTACTCAAGCAGTGCTATGCTTCTGCCAGAACTTAAGTTTACACAAGGCATTTGAAGTAGTTTATACTGTTAAACATGCCAACGTAGCCAAAATCCCATCCAGGAGATGTTTTTCCTTGCATTCACGCCTTTTGGGAAGAGCCACTAAATTAATTTCTAGTTTAGGTGAAGTATGATCCCCTTACCAATGGTTGAAACCCAATTGGGAGATGTTTTGGCTTATATTCAGACCGGCTATTAATATGAGTATCTTTTTTAGAGTGGGATCCGCAGTTTAAATAAAAGCCATGAAACAAGTAGGCGGTAAATTAAAATTTGAACTAGCATAATTCACAGAATTAGAAGCCTTTGCACAATTGCTTCTGATCTCGATAAAGCCTCTCAGAATCAGTTGGCAAGTGGTCAACCACGTGAATTGCTTAAACAATCCCAATCAGCTCCTCTCATGGTAGAAGAGCAGATAATGACTATTCATATTGGAAGAAACGACTTCATTAGAAGTTGGACAGGTAAGGGAATTTCTTGTTGAGCTATGTACTTACTTAAAAAACTACTAATAAACTTCAGTTCCAAGAAATCATATCTTCTACCAAGACATTTAACGAGGAAGCATAAACCCTTTTGAAAGAAGATATTTAGGAACAAATGGACCGTTTTATACTTCAGGAACAAGCATAAAGAAATATTTTATCACTTTTGTCTTCATCATAATAAAAAAAAAAAAAAAAAGAATCAAGCGCCTTGGATTCATATAGTCTTTCTTGCTATCGAAATCTAAAAACAAAGAGGAGCTATGAAAAAGTAGTAACAGCAACTATGAAGCTTTAATAAATTAAAAGAGGAATCAAGTTTGTGGTTGTAATCATATAAGTATTGAAGGTAAATGAGACACAATCATCTTCAGGTTTCTTGTAGAATTCCTGTATCAGCAGAACATGAGAACTCAGAGGATTCATCCAGAAATACAACTCTGATGGATCTGAATTAACAGTCATATCTGGTTGTCCTGTTGGCTGAGACTAATACTTGAGAACCAGTTTCTTGGTATGTGAGTTCCAGAAATTGTTTATCTCATTATCTGTTCTTCCTGTTAAATGGGAGGCTATGGCAGCAAACCTGAAGAATCTTAATGCTCGACCAATGAAAATGAAGAAAGAGGGCAAGGAGAACATTGCATTCAGAGTTTAAAGCATTATAAAATATTCTAAGAGATGATACGGCTTAATTAAGTAGTATTATGGCCAAAGGTTGAACTTCCAGTATATATAAGCTAGGAATTAGAAGGCAAGTAATGCATCTATCTTATGGTTTAGAGGAAATTTCTGTGGAACCTTCCACTTTTAAACTCTCTTAACTAATTTGTACTAGTACAATTTTATGCAACAGTTTCATGGAGAAAAATTCCATGACTTGCAATCATTAGACCTTCATTCTGCGAAAGCGCCTTCTTTTGGCGATCAAGATATGGACATCTGATAACTTACCGAAGAATATTGAATCACAATTAAGTAGTACAGTCTCTAGGTAACATAATTGTATAAATATATATCAATTCTTTTACAATATCGATATATAATCAAACTCTAATACAAACAGGAAAAACAGAGAAAAAAGATACATAAAGAAAAATAATTTAAACATAAATATTGATATGTAGGAAACAAGGGAACAAATGAGTCCGAAACCTAAATGCCAATATTTTGGACTCAAAACACGTTTCTACAGTGTAAAAAAAAAGTTACTTTTCTACCTAAAACGCGGTATTATACTGCGCTTTACTTTAACGGCTATAGTGCAGTATTATACTGCGTTTTACATATTAAATTTAAAACCCCCCCTTTCTTCCCCACGACAGAACACTGGTTCATCCTCCACCTCCATTAAAATATTCCAACAGCGGTCCCCATCCGTCACACAAAAAGTGAAGATTGTAGGTCCCGCATACAACCCAAGCCTTCGATTGTTGAAGTTTCCTCGTTTCGGGCTCAAAATTTCAATTTTCCGACTTTTTTAAAAATAAATCGAGGTATTCCGATTTAGTTTATGTGGAAACTCGTATAATAATGCATATTAGTTGTCTTGAATGTGTTTCTATGTTGTTTTGTATTTTGTTTGCAATCAAATTTGTATGTTATTTTTATCCGGATTAAATTATTAGTGTTTAAAAAAATAGTTAAAGTTGAGCAATAATTTTTCTTCTTAATAAAAATGTTCATAAATTTCTTTTACTGTTTATATGTAATTTCGTGAATGTTGTGTTATTAAAATATGTTTGTTGTTTTTATTTAGTTTAGATTATTTATTTGCTTAAAGAATAGTGCCCATATAGCGTAGTAAAATATAGAGCCTTTTAGCGTAGTAAAATATAGAGCCTTTTAGCGTAGAATCTCTATAGTTTAAGTATCTACTAACTACAAACTCTATCCAATTACACTTTACAAAAATTAATTATTTAATTTATAAAACAAACATACATAACTAACAAATTAATATATGTTGTCAAATTAAATATCGAGCGTGGAACTCATAGATATATTCTCTGTTCAATTAAAAATTAATTATTTAATTTATAAAACTAACAAAATTCTAAAAATATTAAAATTGACACACATAAGAATTCATGATAGCTTGGTGCTAGTGGGCCTCAAATATCGAGCCTGGAACCCATAGATATTTACTCTGTCCAATTAAATAATTAAATATTAATTATTATAACACAAATAAAATTCTAAAACTATTGAAATTGACACACATAAGAATTTAGGATAGCTTGGTGCTACTAGGACTTAAATATCGAGCCTGGAACCCATAGATATATACTCTCTCCAATTAAATAATTAAATATTTAATTTATTATAACACAAATAAAATTTTAAAAATATTGAAATTGACACACATAAGAATTTCGGGATAGCTTGGTGCTACTGGGCCTCAAATATCGAGCCTGACACCATAGATATATACTCTGTCCAATTAAATAATTAAACATTTAATTTATAACACAAACACACAATTAATATTATTTAATTTACAGTAGACGACATGGACGTGCCGCCTGTGCATCCTCGACCTTTCTCAGATGAGATATTAGTGTTACAGGGCGATCATAGGTCCGCCTACGTATGGGAGGGAGAGCTAGTGGAGCAGACTCTCCGCGCCAGGAGAGTGGACGACGTGTGAGACTTTATGAGGGAGAGAGCTTTCCATCCCCGCGTAGTCCAGCGCCTGCGTGATACGGGCTTCCGTAGGATTTTTGAGATTGGGCGGCTGCAGCTCGACTGGTCTCCGATCACGGCATTGATAGAGCAGTGGCGACCGAAGACGCAAACTTTCCACCTGCCCATTGGCGAGGCCACCATCACACTTCAGGATGTTCAGGTTTTATATGGGCTACCTGCTGATGGACTGGCCGTTGTACTGCCTCAGTATATGAGATCTATGATGCGTGCCAGTATTTGGACTTGCTGCAGCAGTTCACTGGTTTCAGGCCACAGGGTGAGGCTGCAGCTTCAGGGGGCAGTCGCATTTCTGTGATAGCTATTAGACGGCATTTGGAGGTATTGCACCCCGACATCACCGGCGAGACAGATGTTGTACATATTTACCGGTACACGAGGTTGGCGCTGCTCCTTCTTTTTGGGGGTGTCTTGTTCCCGAACACTTCGGGAAATCTAGTGAGTATGCGATTTCTACATCATTTTCAGCAGCTAGATGAGTTACCCCAATACAGCTGGGGTGCTGCTGTTCTCGCTTACCTGTACAGGAGTATGTGCCGGGCTAGCATGGGCACCCAGAGCAACGTGTGTGGTTTTCTGCCACTTCTACAGGTGACAACATATTTGAATACTCTGTTCATTACTTCCAATTCTATATAGTCAAAATAACTCTTAAATTTTACGTCGACCTTGTATCTTAGGTTTGGGCGTGGGAGCGGTTCCTGCCGTTGCAGCCACCTCTACCACCATTACCTCCGGATGTAGCAACTCCGTTTCTCCCTCTAGCTAGGAGGTGGGTTCTCCGGCGTGGAAACTACCGAGCCATTGATGCTCATCATAATCTCCCCCTTGTCAGGGATATATTGGATATGCTGGAGGCCGCACAGGTAAATATGTACCTAAGCTTACTTGTTATAAATTCACTTGTGTTGCGCATACTCACTTTTATGTTATTATTTGATAGTTCATCTGGACGCCATACAGCGACGACTTGATAGTTGGCCTGCCCGATTATTGCTCGGTCTGCCGACTGATTTGGAGCACTTCCGTCCCGCTGATGTGCCTCGATATTGTGGAGCATCATGCCACAGAGCGGGTACCGCAGCTGAGGATCGGCCAACCCAAGACGTGGATGGTGAGCGCAGGTTGAGTTTTGGCTCATCCTTGGCGGTTGCCGCAGATCTATCACAGGCACAGGTATGTTTGTATTACTATTAAATTTTAATTTGTTTTTTTTCCTTAATGATTTGTCATAAATTAATTTTTAATTTTCTTATTAAGGCTTTGTCCCAACCCATCACGGAGCCCACTTTATGCGATGATGAGGACACCACGGATGCTTATATTCA